GTGGAGGGGGTGGGTGGCACGCTGGGGCTTGGGGAGGCTGGACCGGGAGGGGCAGGCGGGGGCTAACCAGCGAGTGTGACAGAGGCGTGCCGACCGGTCCGGGCAGGCTGCGGCGGGTCCAGAGACGGCCCAAGGGCCTTTCTGAGACCGCGTATGACAGCGACATGGAGACGGGAAGAGACAAAGTCCCCACGGAAGCTGCACCCCCACCCTGGGAGGCCACTCTTCAGGGCGAGGCCTGTTCGGACAGCTCTCTAAACAGTTCTCGTACCCCGATACGGTCGGAAGAAGAACGTCGCCTCTCAACGGGCTGCTAGAACCGCCACATCCCGCACTCCGCCTGTCAGGCGGGGACGGCGGGGACCGGCAGCAGGGTGCCCCGAGGCCTCGTCCGGCACCCCGACTCCAGGACAGCATCTGTCTTGTGGGGACCGAGGGCCAGGCTCTCGGGGGAGCACCGGCCACTCATCAAAAAGCCTTGCCCACGTCTCAAAGGCCCCGGGCCTCAGGGCCTCAGCCCGCTGCACCTCGGTCTGGGTGTCTTTGAACCAGTCACCTCCCCTGGCCCTCACCCCCAAGGGCCCAGGCCGAGGCCAGAGATTCTTGAATAAGCCTGGCTCTGGGGTCCAGACCAGACAGGGACTGGATTCCCAGTGGTCACCTGATGCCCAGTCCTCAGTGGACACATGAGTGGCCTCCGAGGCCCCCCCTGCTGCTCACCCCTCCACCTCCAAACCCTCCTCCCACTGCCCGCCTCTCACCCTCTCGAGCCTTCTCTCCACCCACCATCATCGTCTCTCCCGACAGCTCCCACAACTCCCTGTTCGAAGCCCAGGGCACCTCCAGGCCCCTGGCTGCCTCCAACCTGGGGCCCCAGGCCCACCTGGAAAGCAGGTGCTCCCAGCAGCCTGGGGGACGAGGAGGGGGCGCCAGGCCCGGAGGCCTGAGTCCGCAGTCCCTGTGCCCGCCCCCCCCCCACCCGCCGTCTCGGCCTCAGTGCCCAGCAGGAAAGGGAGAAGGTGGACCCGCCGGCCTCAGCCGCCTTCCAGCTCCGACTTTCTGTGGTTCTGTGCTCTGTGCTCCCCCTGCTACAAAGCTCCCACCCTGCAAAGGACTAGGGCTGATTTGCATGCCACGGGGCCCGCGGATACGCACACATTCCCAGCCAGAGACACAGGCCAGGGAAGCAGAAAGGGGTGTCGCCTGGAGAAGCCGGAGGCTCCCGCCCTCCCGGGCCCTCTTTTTTCCCCCGGGTTCCCAGCACACGAGCCCAGGTCAGCCCCTGCGAGGCC